AGAAGAAAGTGCGATATGCCTAAGCATTTACTTACACATTGCAAGGATGGAAATGGTAACACTAAATTTAAAAATATTAATAGAAATATGAGCAAAGTCCAATACTGTCACAATTCTGTTATTACAGACTTTGGTAATTATTGGGAAAACTGTAAATCGTCCGATTTTTACCAAAATTGGTATACACCCTATTTTGAGGTCGTAGATTAAGAATCTGAATTTTTTCCTGGCGGTCTCTTACCGTTTTTCAAAAAAACGGAAAATAATTTCAACATTTAATTTTTCTTTATTTCGGTCCTATAAAGTAATAATTTCACTATATTTTTATTATATTATAGTTTATCTAAAAGCCACATTTTGGTTTCAACTATGCGGAGGGGGTTAATCTTTGTTGTATTAAAAAAAGATTAACTCCCTCTGCAAAGGAGTTATATAAAGATTACTTATAACCACGAAGTTGCACGAAAGAGTTTTGATTGCATTGGTTTCAACTTCTTTGCGGAGGGGTTTAATCTTTTTTTGATATAATATAACAAAAAAAAGATTAACCCCCTCCACATAGAAGTTGTATATAACTGCTATTTTACTAACGTGATCTAACTACACAAAGTTGCACGAAAGAGTTTTGATTGCATTGGTTTCAACTTCTTTGCGGAGGGGTTTAATCTTTTTTTGATATAATATAACAAAAAAAAGATTAACCCCCACCGCATAGAAGTTGTAACCAATGCAATCAAAACTCTGTTGTGCAACTTTGTGTAGTTAGATCACGTTAGTAAAATAGCAGTTATGGGAAGGGGCCGTTCCTCTGGCAACCGCCTTTTGTAATCCCAGAATGAGCGAAAAAAACGCCCTAAATTTAGGTTTAGCGTTGGCAACGTTGCTTTAAATGTCAGAAACACATAACCCAACATTTTCAGATTGTTTACAAATTTATTTTAGCAAATTTTTCTCTATTATGCATAGAATTGGTTAAAAAATTAACAGAAAATAGCAAAAACCTCATTGTTTATCGAATACCTAACAAAATATGTGCTAGAAAACCTTAAAAATATGAGAAATTAAGAAAAATTTGATGTCGAAATAATTTTTTGTTTTTCTGAAAAACGGTAAGAGACCGCCAGAAAAAAAAAGTTCAGATTTGTCATCTACGACCTCAAAATAGGGTGTATACCAATTTTGGTGAAAATCGGACGATTTCCAGTTTTTCCAATAATTACCCAGACTTTTGCTGCAGAAGTTATTATTACATTTATATTTAAACATAGTTGATTAATTTTTGATCAGGGCATGTCGATAGCATCTTGTGCCGCGGTATTTGCGTATTTGTTTTCAGTGAGACAGTGGAACTAAGTAGGTAATGCCTAACTATAGTCTAGTTACAAAAGCAGCTGTGGCTCCATTGCTAAGATGGTCGCTTTTGGATCGAGATGTACTGAGTTCGGATCTTACAAATATAGAATTTTTTTCATTATTTTACAGGTGCCGAGGTGTAGCGAAAGGTTGGTCTAGGTAACTGCATTGGTTAATCTCTGGAGTTTATTTTTTTTTTGTTTAGATTGCACTTGAAATGCAACCGAGTATCATTTCTGGGTTTTTGCGTATGCGCATTTTTGAAATATCGCGGCGCAAGATGCTGTCTGCACGCCTTAAGCCCCGTTCTCAGAACTTTGTATTGTCGCCAGCGACACGTCAAATTAACCAATGAGATTTGTTACAAAATTCAAACACCTTTCAATTTTGAATTTTGTGCAAATTTCATTGGTTCTTTTCGACGTGTCGCTCGACTGCTCTGAAGTTCTGAGAACGACTTCCGATTTTGAAGTCTGACAATCTGTAAACTTATAAACTCAATCTTAACCTAATTTTTTATTTCTTTGTCCGCGTAAATAAAGTGGGCCCCATCCAGATTAGCCTTAGCGGCAAAAAGGGAACATCATAGTTCAGGAGGCAGTGAATTTTTTTGTACTTATTTTCCCAGTGGGTTTATATAAATAGTATGTTTGAATAGTGACATTATATGATAAATTGTAAGTCTGAAATAAGAAAAAAAAAAAAGTCCACTTATTATCCCAGTCATAAATATTTGGCATTTATTAAAGTGAATCAGTTTACGTGCATTGGAATGAAACACCTATAAAAAGTCTAAGCTTAAACAGAGATGGACAACTTCCCCGTTTCCACTTCCAAAACGACTGTCGAGTTAGACAAACTCCAATAAGATAACAAATTTTGGAAATGACGCCGCCTCCCATCCACCTGCCCTTTATCGCCATTAATATTATTTTTCTTTTCGCGCCTCCGCGTCGCTCCAGCGCGTCAGTCGATCACAATGTTGCCGGATTTACCGATTTCCGTCAGTAAGCTAACGATCTACCAATTTAAATAAAAATCCAACGATTTGTTCAACTGCGTCTTTAGTCTTTACAATAGAAGCACTTTTAAAAATCTGACACATTTGGACTAAAAATTAAGCGACCATCGCGTCGTAAACCGTATAATCTGACATTCGCAGATATTATAGTTTATTAACTTTTGTTTAGAAATTATAGGTCATCGTTCTATCTGGTTGCAGTATTACGGAGACATTCTCAAAAATCTTTATTATCCCTTATTATGTGTTGTATTGCCGGCATTTCCGAAGATGGTATCTTTAGAAAATATTTTGTCTCATTCATCTACTGAAGTTGAACCTGCATTTGTCTCCAAAAAAAATAAACAAAGAACAAGTTAATAACGAGTTAAAGAACAAATAAGTTAAGAAACAAACTAAACACAGACAAATATTTTTGTGCTTCTTCTGTCTAAAAAATATTTTAATAAAAAGAAAAGCTTGCCCATTGACATGAAATTAATTCTACATATGAGCGAACAAAATTTGTACAAAGGTAAAAAGTGACTGGTACCCCTACTTATTAGTTTTAAATGTTTTTATTAATATACTAATATTATTTAAGTTAATAAGATTTTTTGATATTAAATAATATTATACCTGGCTATTTCTAATTCTTGTTATATTTCTTTTGTTTGTATTTTATTTGCGTGTTCAATTCTATAAACACATAGAAATGCTAATTTTGTACTTAAATATTATATTTTATTTTGTTTGTGCAGTTTATTATACTTTTGATTTTGTTTGATTATTTGATGAAATATCGATATTTGTTAGTAAAAGAAAGCCGTGAAAAATTATCTAATTATTTTATTTAATAAAGCTTTTAAAAGATCATCAAATAGGTAAGAAATAAATTTACTATCTAACAAACCTAGCAACCTTGAGGCCACTCTACCAAATTTTTTCCCGATTTTTTCTTTCGTCGAAGTTCCTCCGCCGACGCACGGCAGCCGCTTTTAGCCCCGCCCCTCTCCCAGATGCGATCTTCTCACTCATCGTGTCACTTCTAGAAGGGAAAACAGAGTTATCTGTCTTTGTTACACTGCGGGTTGGACTGCAACCGTGCCATCTTTTTATCGTATTGAAAATTTATTGCTAATAATAATTTGCCAAACCCGTATGTAAAAGTGAAAAATCTACTGAGAGGCCCTTTAGGAATAGACCCCAGTTAGAGGGTGGATGGGAGATATGACATTATATGGCTGATGAATGCGGTTGGGAGTTTCCGTAAATAAAGTAATTTCTTTGCATATTAGCACTGGCAGTAAAGAGACTTCAAAATAGCTTATTTTTACTTATACTTAAAAATACACCAATTTTCTTTTCATAATAAATTTTGTTTAATTTTTTTTTGTTTCTGATGTATCCATGTCCTCACTGTTCTTATTCGACTAAAAGGAAAGGAGATTTGCCTAAACATTTACTTGGTCACCAGAGTTATGGAGATAATCAATTTACCTGTCATCTATGTCCATACGTAACCAGACGGAAAGGCGATTTAAAAAACATGTAATGTCTCATGAGGCAAACCTTACATTAAAGATGGATCAATTTATAATTGCACTGAATGTGGTTATACTTCAAAGAGGTTAGTACAGTTTACTGATAGATTTTTAAAATGTTTAAGATTTTTTTTGTTGTTTTTAATTTTATATTGACAAAGTAAATATACACAGACAATAGTAACGTGAACACAACTGAAAACAAAAGCAAGGTTTTAATGTAAAAATTACGAAAAAATGTTAGTGTCTTCTTCAAAAGCCAATATCTTCAAAAATGATAAAGCTATTGAGATGAATCATAAAATAAACTAGCGAAAAGAGATGCACCTAGATGATAAAATTATTTTCAAATTCCTTGCTTTTTTAACATATCCCACAGGGTGTTGTTTTTAACATATCCCACACAACCAAACCAAACTTTCACCAAAACAACATGTTATGTTCCCTCATCTCATATAATTGACAGATGGGAATTTTCATTTTTAATTTAGAAAGAGATATGAAAAAGTCAAATAATTTAGCTACAAATTGCTGAAAAGATCATCAAAATCGGTCGACTAAAACGCAATATATTAAACTTTAAAATCCAGCAAAATTTTAAGGTGCCCGTTTTTCGTGCCTGTGAGTAACATAATAAATAACGTAAGCTAAAAAATCAACATCTTCAACAACAAATCAATATACCGAGGTCAACATAAGTCAGGCAACCATTCATCAGGTTATTCATTCTGAAAACGCGTCTATTCACGTCAAGAAACTCTTATATAATTTTATTATATACCTAAAAACTGCAAGAAATTTATTTTCCATTATATTTTTTGGGCTAGCCGAAAAAAGCCTTTATTTACTATCGATAGTTGTGCCTCGGTGGTACGAAAGTACTACCATTGCACACAGGCCGCTATCTCGCGATGCGGGACTTAATATCTTACCGCTACTTTACGACAAGTCGTATGTATATACTCTGCGCTGTGCTCGTCGTTTTGTGGAAATACCCAAGCTCACCTGATGATGGGGTAGGGCCCCGAAACCGGTAGTGAGAGCAGGTTGATCCACATTATGTCGAGATTTTTGATTATGAACTTTAAAAAACATTCAAAAGGTCTTTTCAAGCACTTTAAAAACGGTCATAATCATTTTCTTCGAAAAATGTGTTTTTTCGCCATTATTTTACGGTAAAAGGTTGCAATTTAGTTTTCGAAAAATAAGAAATCACACAGAGTGATAACTCGGCTATTATTACACCTACAGTAATCAGCAAAAAATGAATCGTTTAGTTATTCCAAATGCTTCATTTTTGCTTTATGTGAGTTTTGCGATAAAACGCAAGGTTTTCGTGTGATTTATAAAAAATGGCAGAAAAATATGCAGTTTTTAGATGAAAAATCAATCATGAACAAAAATCAAATCAATGAAAATTTTTAATCCTAAATAACTAGGAAAATATTAATTTTCTGAAAAAATGTTATAGAACATTTTTTGCTTAGAATTCATCCCTTTATTGATTTTTTCTATTAAAATGGGTGATTTATTTTTCACCCCCGAGAAGGGGTGGCACTCGCCCCCAGGGTGAAAGCACACATCGCTACTATGTAACTTTTGCTTCTTACATATATCTGTATTCACTGTTAAAATTTCACGTCAATCGGTGCAGGTGTTCAGAATTTGGACCCCAAAACCCTCGCTTACTGGTCTAATAACATGTTTTTCTTTCAGATTAAACGATCTCCACAAACACGTTGTTCTACATCGCGATAAATTTGAAACTGACTTTTTTAAATGCACTAAATGCGATTACTCCACTTCTGTTAGTAACCATTTTGCCAAGCACGTGTTGACCAGCTGTCAGTCTCAGGAAAGAAGTAATACAGTCTCGAACAGGAGTCAGAGTTATATTGTATTAGAGGGGGCAGACATGGGTATCTATAAGCTCGATAAGAAAGGAGTGGTTAAGAGGAAAAGAGAAAAGGCAGCAGCTGTCGCAGATTCAGACGAAGAGGAGCAGGAGGATTTTTTGGTTGATAGAAACTATAAGAAACGTAGTAAGGTGGTTGTTTTGGGCGGATATGAAGAACCTGAACAATCGTCTTAGTTAAATGTCACTTTAAAAAAATTGCACTTTCTTTAGTTACCATGGATGTAAAATGTAGTGTATTAAAATTAAATATTATCGAGTATCATTATTATGGTGTATATATTATAGCATACAAAAGTAAAGCTTAAAAATTAAATATTTCTCAAAGAGAAACAGATTTTAAGTGGTTTCATTTTCTTATTTCTAAGAAATTAATTAAATACTTTATATTAATGTTATAAAATCTAACGAACTAAGTAGTATTAGCTGAAAAACTTATAATACGGGGCAAATAAAGTTTAATCAAATTTAGTAACGGAATTATCGTTATTTTTAGTTTAGAATAATTTATTCCTTTGTTGTTTCTTTTTTAATATTGTTTCAAAGCAAAAATTGAATCTTGTCAAAAAATAACATATTATACAGGGTGGTCCGGAAACTTCGGCAGCATATTCTGCAGATTAGCAAAAAAGTTCTTATAAATGTATGTCCTAAAATTGCTTAGTTTCGGAGATACAGGGTGAAGAATTTTGATTTCAATATGACTTCTGTTTGTAGGAGGCAGCACCTACATGTTTAACTGTTTTGAAGAAAGAAGTTTTTTTTTTAATTTATTTAATTTTTTTTTTGAAAAAATAACTTTTTGTCTGTACTTATATAAAGCGAGTCAACTACTGAGTGAAAAAATATACATTTCCGTAATTTTCTACATAAAAAAATGTCTCTTGGTAAAAATCGCTACGAGCAAGCTTTCTCAAGATATTTAGAATGGAAATAGTCAATACATGTCATTTTTGACAAAAAATAAACATGGTGAGTAGATAATTATTTGACTGAAATTATTTGAAAATTATAAATTTGGGAACTTTTTGTTTTTTTAAATTCATCAATTTATTTTTCAACATGTTTATTATCAATGTTGACAGGTATTGATAATTTCGAATCAAAATATCTAGAGAAACATTAGATAATGTATATATTTTTACTCTGTAGTTTTATACAGCTGCGACGAAAAATTATTACTCTTCAAACCAGTTAAAAAATATGTAGGTGGCGTCCTCTATAAATAGGAGTCATATTGACATCAAAATCGAATTTTTCATGTCAAAAAAATTCCAGACACATTCCAGGAAACAATCGAAATAAAATGAAACTTCTACCCCATGTATCTCCGAAACTAAGCATTTTAGGACATACATTTTGACTTATTCTTATTTGCCGAATATGCTGCCCAAGTTTCCGGAATACCGTTCGGACCACCCTGTACAAGATATAACATTTATTATAGGTACCATACGATCGAAAAAAAATGGCGTCGAAGACGGCTGGGGAGTGACAATCGATAATAATTTTGGTCCAGCCCTAAACTTCATTACCTGGACCGTACTCTTCTTTATTTTTTAATGGCACTTACTGCCAGTTGGCCTTAAGAAGGTTGTAATTTAATTTTATATTGAATAAACATTATTTTTAAATGGCGAGGAAAAATAATTTTTTGGAAATAGATTTGTGTGTCTGGAAACTTTTGTGTTGTATCCTTTTTTAGCCTTTCTGAATTATTTGACTGAACTTTTGACAAGTTTTATACCAACTTTTAGTAAATGACGTCTAGACGATAAGTAATAAGTAAATAAATGGCGTGTAGAAGATTTCTAGCGCTTGACCTTGCCAAAATTCTTATTGATTGTCGTTCCCCAGCCGCCTTTGACGCGTATTTTTCGGTTATAGTTTTGGTGCCATTCACCGCCTGTGCTGGCACTATCGGAGAATATCGTAAGAAATTGATATACATATACAAATATATGGGTTTAAATAGCGAGTACCTATACGGAAGATGTACCTATTATATAATTACTCTAAAAAAATAAAAAAGTATAATCATTTTGATATCTTTAGAAGGTGTAACTTGTATTATAATTTATTATTCCAGCCAAAAAACTTTTTAGATGCGTTCAACTACGGTAGCGAGCATAGTTTTACGCACCAGTTTTGCTAGTGGGTCATAATTGGGGCTATTTCGTCTATAACGATTTTTTTTAAAGGTACATCATTAAGATTTTAGATGTTCATAAAACATTTAATCACTAGTTGATTAAAAAAGTATACTATTAATATTGTAAATTATAATTTATCCTCTCATAGTTATGTCTATTTAATTTCTGATTTTGTAACAAGCACTTTGTTTACTCAGTTGTGTCATTGAACTGTTTGAATCCATTTTTGCTTTTGATCAAATCGGTGTGAGAAACTATGAAGCTATCAAATGTTGTTTGGGGAGAGTTGAATATCCGGGAAAGTTGAGTTATTGAATGTTATTGCACCCAACAACGCGCTAATTACGCTCTCCTTTATACGTTAACATTTTTTGGCAATGTTATTAACATTTGAAATTGTCACAACACAACACGACGCCTAGTTCGAATTCTTTTTTACCTATTTTTTACTACCTGAAACAGTGTTACATCACACAAACCTCCTACCTGAATGTTTTATAGTCTCAATAACTGCACTAGCAAAAAACTAAAATACTTAATACATAGGATTTCAATATTATTTTAATGCGATCAACATGAACTGTAACCGGGACGGCGTGAAACACATAGCGAAAATTTCTGATTTCTGCCGTATGCAGCGCTGCGGTCAGAATTTTTTGAAATCAACTGAAATGCACCAAGTCTATTGACACACACTGCTCATTCAGGCCGGTTCGAGGCCGGATGAGATCGGATATCTCACGAATAAGAGTCGATTTAGGCACTCGGCCAAATAGGCCCCGTCCTGACTAGCATTAGCAGCAAAATGGAAACGTTTAACTTGAAATACTTACTTTTTTTATTCAATAATTCAGAATATCGAGTGTGTTGCAATAATCTTTCGTGAATCCGACTATACAGGGTGTTTCAAAAAACATGTGCCATCTCTCGTGGGGAGATTCTTCACGTAAAAATAAGATTTATTTTTTATGTCAACATAGGTCCGATTCTGCTTTGTTTCGTAGCTACAGAGTGTTAAATCTTAATAATCTTTCGATTTATTATAATTTTCTTCTTAAAGTACTATTAGTGATTCGAATGAACTTTTGAGGGTAAAAGTTACTATAAGTGCTACCAAGGGATAGAAGGCAATGAAAAAGCAAATAATCTAGCTAGGAAAGGAGCGAACACTCCACTAACTGGTCCAGAACTGTTCTGCTTTCCAAGTGGTAACAAACTCAAGGCGGAACTCAAGAACTTGGAAGATTCCATCCGCAACCTGGAATGGAAATCTTGCAATGGTCTAAGACAATCGAAGAAGTTTCTGAGGGCTTATGATCAAGAAAAATCACAGATCTTTCTGGGTCTGAGTAAGAACAATCTTCGGATTGTCACGGGGTTTTTAACAGGACACTGTCTCCTCAATGAACACCTCAGTAGATTGAAACTAAGAAGAAACGGCGAATCCAGATTCTGTGGGGAAACACCAGTACACCTCATCACTGAGTGCGCCGAGACGACAACCATTCGTGCCATGAATTTTGGTACGACTGATATTGGAGATGGAGAACTACCCTCTATAAAACCGTCCCAGATACTGGCTTTTGTCAAAGCCCTGGGACTGTATGATGAGTTATGATTCAAGAAAGGGGGACACAATGGATCTGTAAGGTCGAAGTGATTAACCCCCCTCCCACTCATTCTAAATTCTAAAAAATTTCTACTATAAGTGCTACATATTTTAATGCTAAAAAAGTGTCGATAAATACATCAGGGACGTGCATATTATGGGTTATCATTGGAATCTTTTTCAAACAAAAACATGTGCGCCAGTGACTTTTTTTCTTTTGATATCAAAATTGTGTAGGCCGTTTATTGCCATTTAAAAGTTATCTCTTGATATTTTGTCGAATTCGGCCTCCTTGATGAGATAAACGCAATTTTATTAATCACAATTAATAAAATTAGATTTTACCTAATTTATCATTAAATATTATTAATACTAGTTATTATTACTATTACTGCAACCTACAGCAATTTCAAATACAAAAATAAATGTATTTAAGATAATTACAAAAAAACTAATTTTAAAAATTTTTAACATCCTGTAACTCTAAAACTATGCATTTATGGGAACTTGTTTTCATTTTTTTGATGAGGAATCAATTAGTACTTATTTAAAACTTTCGCGAGTTAATGATATTAAATTTTTTAAAGGTTGCTATTGACTTGGATCAAGGCAAATTAATAAAATTGCGTTTAACTCATCTAGGAGGCCGAAATCGGCAAAATATCAAGACACAACTTCAAAACAAAAAAACAAAATCGGCATTAAACTGCTTACATTATCTCGCCAACAAGTGAAAAAAAGTCAGTGGCGTACATGCTATTTTTACAAAAATATTCCAGTGATAACCCATATGCACGTCCCTGGTGAATATGTCGACACTTTTTTAGCTTTAAAATATGTCTCATTTACTTTTACCCTCAAAATTTCATTAGAAACGCTAAAAGTACTCGGAAGAAAATTATAATAAATCGAAAAAATATTAAGACTTTAACACCCTGTAGATACGAAACAAAGCAAAATCGGACCTATGTTGATATGAAAAATAAATCTTATTTTTACGTGAGGAATCAACCCCATAAGAGATGGCACATGTTTTTTGAAACACCTTGTATGTATTAAAACAAGAGGTTAAAGCCGGGACCCCATTAGCGAACACCCGACGTGATGCCACGCTATCCCACATGTTGCGACGTGGGAATGGGTGTACACATTAGGTAACACGTGTTAACACGCCTGAAATTTTTATTGGAGTTAAAAAAGTTATCAGTAGGGTTACGAAAATACTAGAAGTATCGATACCCATACCGATATTAGATTATAATCATAATACCAGTACACCAATATATTCAGAATCGAATATCGATATTATTAAATCAATCTTTTGGGGATCAATCTTTTGTTGCCGATTTTTTCTGGATCTATCTTGTTATATCCGATGTTGAATCGATTCAAAATATCGATTTATTTTATTATTTTGGGGCATCCCTACTTCAACTACAAAAGTAGATAGCTGCGGGACTGCCTCTCTAGTCCCGGGGACTAGAGAGGCAAGCGGGGAACAACACGCCGTGACACACGTCGGTGAGTTCTGGGACCGACGAATCAACCATCACACGTGTCATAGCGGGTTATACCGTCGGATGGCGTCGCGTGTTGCCTAGTGTGTACGCAATACATGTAATTAAATGGAAAAACATATGCACAGATCTTCATGACATGGGGTAGCATGGCATCACGTGGCGTAGCGTGTTGGCTAATGGGATCCGGGTTTTATGGTTGCAAACATATCGAAACAAATTTGGAGGTTGAAAAATAAGATAAAACTCTTAAGAAATAAGTATATTTCTATATAAACATTTAAAATTAGCTTAATTCTAGTTGATTAGTTAATTCTAGTTGCCATCTAAAATAAAATAAATAGGCATAGTAAAAATACCACAATAAGAATTTTTATGAGAACATTGATTTCTAATATATAAAATGTATCAAATTTACAGATTAGTTGTATAAAAATATACACATAAAACCACCAAAATAAGTAGAAAAGATAAGAACTTTTATATAATATACTCGTATAAAAATACAATTGTTATAAATAAAATTTTATGTCGATTTTATAAAACGATGTAAAGCTGTGCTATTTTTTGAGTACTCAACAATTGGCTTCTGGAGGTGGTAACGGTGCATTTTCTTCATATATCATCATCAGTGAACTATAAGAACGTCTTTTTTTTGTTCCCTAGAAAAAAATCTTTTATTAATTACATATTTTCATAGGTTTGTAAAAATTATACATTAATAAATAATGATCTGTACACTTAAATTTTAGTTATATAACATTAGACAAAGTATAATGCTACATAATAGTTAAGGACGCTAGAAATCTCGGCATATATTTTGATTCTAATTTAAAATTTGATATACATGTAAAAAATAAATTGAAAATTGCATATATGCGACTAAAAGGTTTGGTTTATTTTAAGAAACATCTTCCTCAGAATACAAAATATTATCTGTGCAATTCGCTAATTTTGTCCTTGTTTGATTACGGAGATGTGGTATACGGCTCTTCATTGACTCAAATGGTTGCCAGATCCATTCAAAAACTTCAAAATTCCTGCATGAGATTTTCATATAATATCTCATTTCGTACACATATTACGCCATATTCAAATCAATTTGATATTCTGTCTATGGTAAATAGGCGAAAACTTCATATGTTAACATTTATCTACCGTATCTTACAAACTGGCCAACCGCCTTATTTAAAATCATTGTTTATACCTTTTGACCACGCTCATGTAACAAGAAACTTACATTGTTTCAGAATACCTCAACATAGGACGGCTGGCTTTCAGAAATCGTTTTCTTTTCTTGCGCCGCAATTATGGAATTCTCTTCCAATCAGTGTTAAATGCTTTAAATCACATTATTTTAATAAATAATGGCGAGTCTTAAATAAACAAATATTTTCAGGGCTGGTAGATCTCTACCACTCTGACTAGTCTAAAAAAACGTTCTTGCCTTTTTGTGTAATGTTTTTACAGTTTTGAAAAAGAAATAATATTTAAAAAGCTGTTTTTTTTATAAATTACCGATAATTTTACATCACTAGGCTAACGTAACTGTGCTAATAACTTGCCGATGTTTAGGTGAGAATCGGTCTTAAATGGACGATTTTCCATCGATCTATACAGGGTGCTACAAATTCGAGGTACGAGCATTGGTATCTCAGTAACCGTATAATAGATACGAACATGGTTAAATTGGGGCAAAGTTGAGCTTTGTGATGTTCACCAAGATGCCATCAAAAAAGTTTTAAAAATTTCAAGGATGAGTTTTTTGGAAAAAACGGATTTTTATGAAAACCAATTTTATTTTTTCCTGTCATTATTTTTTAGAAAATCAAAAAACTAATTGCACTTTCTCATAGCCACTTTATTATGGCTATCTGCTAGTATTTTTAGATTTTCAATTTAGCTGATAATTTATGAGATACAGAGGCCAACTTAATATTTTTAAATACGGACCTGCATTTTTATTTCAGATTTTGAAAGAACTCGGTCTACTGAGTACAATGATATGCCACACTTTATACTTTTTTTTTGCTTTGGGTACCTGAACAACAACAAAACTATTTAATAATTATTTAAAATAATTTCAAGTCCGACTTTGGTTTTTTAAATTATTTAATCTAATTATATTCATCGCAACAATATTGATCAGCGCTAATTAACATTGAATAAGGAAACTTGAGCCAATTGGAAGATTCAAATAAATAATATCCAGGTCAGCAATTTCAATAAGATATTATTTTTAACTTTTTTATTGTAAATTTGATATCTCAGTGTGTGATCTAATAATATGCATAATATTAATCGTAGTTATTTTTAATAGTAGTAGTTTCTAATGCTCTACATGTTCGAAAGGATTACCCTTTTGCACAAATTTATTTTTCGTTCAATTTTATTTATAGCTCTTTGAACTTTCTTCTTATACTTCCGAATGTATTTTGTACTCTTTATTGTAAATAGTGAGATGTATTGATTTCACTTTTAAAAATGATGTCAAGTAATGTCCTCCTCGCCCCTTGGCGACAGGTCTAGGAACCCTCGCTGGGCATTATACTGCCCTACCATTGCCAATCCATCTTCCGGGGAAATTATTTTTATATTATTTTTTATTATTGCATTTGATTTTCTGTATTCAATGTTTTACGCCACGTCATTGTTAAGTTTGAAAGCTTATTAATATTGTAACGATGAATAGATTAAATATTAAAAAAAACAGGGCCGGACTTGAAATTAGTTTAAATAAATTGTGTTTAAATGTCCAAAACAAAAAAAAAAATTAAGTGTGGCATATCGTTGTACTCAGGAGATCGAGTTCTTTCAAAACCTGAAATAAAAAGTGCAGGTCCATATTTAAAAAAATTAAGTTGGCCTCTGTATCTCATAAATTATCAGTTAATTTGGAAATTTAAAAATACTATCAGATAGCCCTAATAAAGTGGCTAGTGGAGAAAGTGCAATTAGTTTTTTGATTTTCTAAAAAGTAACGACAGGAGAAAATAAAATTGATTTTCAAAAAAATCCGTTTTTTCCAAAAAACTCAGCAATCCTTGATATTTTTAAAACTTTTTTGATGTCATCTTTGTGAACATTCCAAAGCGGAACTTCGCCCCAATTTAACCATGTTCGTATCTATTACGGTTACCGAGATACCAATGCTCGTACCTCGAATCTGTAGCACCCTGTATATATTATCTTTATATTATTATTATAATTTTTCATTAATGTAAGGTTAAGTACTTACTTCAGCGCCATTCGCAGATGTGTCATCGCCACTACTGCTGCTCGACATAAACCCTTCCTCTAGTGTTAGTGCTTTAGATAAACCTTCCAATTCCATTTCTATATAAAGTTGATGCAGTTGATCGTTGACCATCATTGGCTAAAAAAATAAATTCAATTGAACCCTAATTTTATTTAGAAATGTTAAGAAACGATGAAATAAGCTTAAATATTTTATATAATACTAACCTGATTGACATTTTTGAGGACATTTAAATCGTTTTTAAGTATATCTTCTAGATCTTTGACGGATACTTGGTATCGATAAATTAGTTCTGGAGACATGGATACAGATTCCAACCATGGCGGTTCTTTTTTCCTCATAGGGTATGATTTTTGGTGTTGTCGTAATATGTCCTTTAAGGAAAACTAGTATTTGAATATTTTAATCGTCAATACTGAAGGAACATAAAGTTTTATCAATGTCTTGTTTATGTCCACAGTTAAAAACATCTGATTTTATTCATTTTTAAAATGGCGCATCTCATAATATATGACACGGAGGCTCAAAGGAGAACGATCTTGGTGGGATATGTTAAAGACAGTGTTTACACCACTCGACCAACTATTGTCGACAATATGAGGGAAATGATTGTGGCTGCTTTTCGAAGTAGAATCTCACATATCCCTTTGAACACTAAAAAATCTTTTGATTTTATGTCATCTAGGTAATTTTTGTCACTCAATACGTGTATATTTAGTTTTAATTCTGTAATAAGTAAAATATATTTTAAACGTGTATATTTTTATTACCGTTGAATATTACAATCAATATCCTTTTATTTTTGTTAAATTAACAAGAGTATATTGCAGCTACCTAGATTTTATCAAATAATAAATATCTACGGACGTAAAATTCCGAGTGTTCCGAGAAATGACGAGCGTTCCATTAAAAAAAAAACAACTTTGATGTGTAACTTATTTTGGGAACACGCTGTAGAACTCTAGTATATATTTTTATAAAATGATTTCATTTAACCTACATATACTCCCTAAAGTTCATTTCGATATAAACTATCGTTCCTCTGCCTAAGCCTCTGCGTCGCGTCGTATGGGAGGCGCCACCATCAATAAATTAAAACTTAAATTTCATTCAAATTTTATTTCTTTAATGATAATTTATGAATAAATAATTTAATGGAGTTATTATATAAAACATACACAGGGTGAGCGAAAAAAAAAATCGGGATGACCTTTAAAAAATATTAGGCGATTTTCATATAAAAATTTTTAATTTGACGTTTCTCTAAAATGTTATTTATACAGGGTGAACCAAAATCACAACATACTTGTCTTTTTTTCTTGTAAACTGGCTTTGCAGAAAAATTTGTAGAGGCAAAAAAGTTCCTAAATTGACTTTTAACTAGAAACATTTTTATTTCAAAATTAGACAGGAGTAAAATTTATAGTGAAACATTGAAAAAGGACTAGCTCTTTGAACACTCTATATGATAATAAAATATTTATAGCTGTAAGTATTATTCCACACAAAAACACGACTTGATAAATAACATCAATAATAAATAACTTACTTGATCCATACATCAGATTTCAATTTTTAACTTGAACCGTTTTTGAAATACTTTTTTTGAACTTTTTTCCTTACTTTTTTGAACTATTTTAAAAACTGATCTTGGTTCACATTATACCGGGTGCGTCTCAAAACCCCTATAACTTTTTTATTTTTTCAGATAAAAAAACGAGATTTAGTATGTTAGTATATGACATAAATTGAAATTGATTGACGTATTCAATTGTTTTTGGTCACTTCCTGTTTCACCGGAAATGACTACAACTTTTGAATTTTAAATAGCACCCTCGTTTTTTGTTTACTTTATTTGATAGAAAATGACACCTTGAAGAGAATGACATATCATATGTCAACTTTTGACATTTTCTCATACGGTTTATTTAAAATTGTAACATGCAGTTCACAACGACAATTTGACTCGAAATGGCAAGTGTGTGGTACCAAATTATTCGTAAAAAAATGCTTTTTCCAAATAAGCTAATGAGCCACCCTCGTTCCATTTGAAAAAATTAAGATATGATTAAAAATACGATTTGAGCATCTTTAAACCGACCAGGACAACACACGAGAAACATTAGACACTGAAATCTATTTTTCCAAGGCTGCTTGATTAAAAATTAGTGTTTTTAACATAGCCATGGAACTCTAGATTGAAATTTAAAATACGATTTGTTTTAAAGCGAAAATGTCAAAAGTTGACATATGATATGTCACTCTATTCCCAATGTCATTTTCTATCGAATAAAGTAAAAAAATACCGAGGGTGCCATTTAAAAATCAAAAGTTGTAGTAATTTCCGGTGAAACAGGAAGTGACCAGAAACAATTGAATACGTCAATCAATTCTATTTTACGTCATATACTAACATACCAAATCTCGTTTTTTTATGTGAAAAAATAAAAAAGTTATAGGGGTGAGCCTCTTTTGAGACGCACCCGGTATAAGCAAATAAGTTTTTAGGGAAACGTAAAAAGAAAAAGTTTGTTTCATATACAGAATTTTTCTGTTACTAAAAAGCAATCACGGCCAGAATTTTTAGCATTTATTTAGCATTTATTCTATACACCCTGTATATGCTCCAAAGGCACGGGAAGTTAAAATTACTTTTTGTTGCTATTTTTATATTTTTACAGTTTGGGGAATTTTATGCCAAATTTGAAACGAAATAATAATGAATATGATTGAAAAAAAGCTTCAAACGGCTGGGGAATGACAATACATGATAATTTTGTCGAGGTCAATCTCTAGACGTCATTTACTAAAAATTGATATAAAACTTAAAATTCACTAATTATAGAAAGGTTAAAAAAGGATAGAACGTTTCCAGACACACAAATCTATTTCCAAAAAAATATTTTTTCTCGAATTTGAAACTACACTATTTTAAAAATCACTTTTCTCAATATAAAAATAAATTACAACATTATTAAGAACTGGCAGTAAGCGCCATTAAAAATTAAAGAAGAGTTCGGGCCAAGTAATGACGTCTAGGGCTTGACCTTGCCAAAATTATTATTTATTTTTTTTCCATCGTATGGTACTAGATTCTAGATAGAGTTTTCTCCTCAATAAAGACAATAAAACGATACGATACTGTATATGGAGTAGAACATGGTAGATAGAGAGTTATACCAGAGTCTATAACTACGTCTGTTTTTACATATACTCACATCGTCAGTACGACTAGTCCTGTTCTGTGATGTGGTATCGTCATTTGATCCAGACCCAGTGTCAGTTTTCAGAAACGAGGAGTACGAGGAAGAGTAACAACTGCTCTCTTCATCCAAGTTGTTATTTTTTCTGTAGCTAATTCCTAGTTTAGGTTTAGGAATTTCCTGCATCTGAAAATAAATAAGATAGACATGCTTTATATAGGAAATAAATAAAATATGAGGAACAATCATTTTAAACTTGGACGAGTCAAATAATCTTTAGTAGTTTTATTTAATTTGACGAGTAAAAAACATTTAATTCTAATTTAAAGCCAAATTTACAAGGCGATATTTTTAGGTACATTTCCTTCAATTTTGGATTGCACCTCTTGTTAGTTTTCTTTAGTATCGCCATGTAAGCAAAGGAAGATGTACACGTATAAGTTATTAAGTCTAATGGATAAACATGTTTAAAGTTATCGTTCTCATTATGGAAGATACTTTTTGTATTATATTTTGGTAATATTTAAAATGTGCATTATTTGATGATAATAGCCTTATATACAAGGGTAATGCGCTATATATATACAAGGTTAGTGAGCTAAGACGACGACCATTCGTGCCTTGAACTTTGGTACGGCTAATGTCAAGGATGGAGAGCTGGCCTCTGTGGAGCCGTCTCAGATATTGGCTTTTGTTAAAGCCTTGAGACTATGATGAGCTATAACTCGTTATTACTCAAGAAAGGGGAACACATAACAGATCTTTAAGGTCGCGGTGACTAACTCCCCTCCTAAATATTCTACATTCTATATTCTACAAGGGTAATAGGTAGGTATGTAAATGTAAAATTAATCCAAAGTTTAAAATTTTAAACTAACAATTTTATCCTTTAATATTTTATGGTATATAGCTAACTATATGTGAAACTGAAACATGAATCTTTGAACTGAAAGAAAAACTGAATCATGTAACATTTTTTGGGATATTTTTTACTTTTTCTAGTTTTAAAATTTTATTTGTCCTACTTTTACTCGCATAACTACTATTTTTGGAGATAAGATTGTACTCAAATATTCCAATCAATGCAATTGTGACTGGGTGTTTCCCCAGGAACTTAATTTAAACTTAGCTTTTATTATTTTATGTTGATTTTTAAGTTTGTTTCAGTCATTATGGTTTCAGTGGTTATATTTTGAAACATTTGAAATACATATAATAAAAATCCTGGATTTATTACAGAAATGGATTATTATTAACTGGGAACGATTTTTAGAATTGATTGCTATAATTTCAGTACGTGTAAATCAACCTTTCAAAGCTAATTCTACAGAAACTTTTCGCGACATACTGACCTGGTAATTAATCCTAAACTCGTGGTCTGGGTTTAAACGTGTAAGATAATAATGGAAATATTCTATGTTTTAATCGAATATGTCACAACGAGACAAAAAAAGTGGTCTGATACATTTCGTCTATGAGGTATTGTTGTCAGATTTCGGTGACTTTAAATTACTAGTGCAAAAGATTTTGCACTAGTAATTATAAGTCCACTACAATTTTTTTTACCGAAATATGCGTTTCGCATATTGCAGGTTTGGTCCAGCAACCCCTAGTCTTCACACAATATTCCTAAACTTTTATTTGTGTACCTGGTTAATTCAATATCCTTCCCATCTAACTCATCTGTATACATACAGTGTCCCAGATAAAGTTTGCATCATATGGAACTTTTTTTATTTATTGACTTGATGAAATTTGACTTGGGCGATAGTTTCTGCTTTGATATAGATTAAAAATTTACTCTGTTGCCGTCGGGTATCTATCAAATTGGACGTTTAAAGTAATAAATGGCTAAAAACGGGTTTTCGTGGCTAAATTTAGAAAAACCTTACTTAAAAAAGTTGTCTTTCTTTAATTCTACATAAATATACCAGTTTCCAGCCATCTAGATGAAACCATTTTTTCGCCATAGCCACCAATTCTCGTGATAGAAGGAAAAAAAACTGACATGAACCCGTTTATCATTCAAATATTTATCTAGTATTCATATATTTAGTTCAATGTTTTTAATAAATCAATAGTTTTTTATGAAAATCTATAAATCAATCTATAATAATTCTTCTATATATCGAGGTGACAATATTTTTATACATTTTTATGTCTATATATTGCTAATGTAATCAATGGGAATTTGTAGCCTTCCCCACCAGTCTATTTTATGAGATAGAGCAAAATTACTCTATATCAAAAAAGTTACAAATTTCTCGATGATTACAATAGTAATATTTAAAATACCTGTCCACCTGCATATTTTGAGAAAAACCCTGTTTTCTGATTGACTATCAGAGAAGCGCCCCATAGCGAATATATTTCGTACTTAAAAAATAATTTCCAGTGATTTATGTTGGTCGATTTACTTATTACAATATTTTTTTCTAAAGTTATACGATACGTAGTTTCTGAGATACAGCCGGCATCAATTCTTAGTTGGCCACCCGGTACGAATAGAAATTTTATGATTCCATTTCCATAAATTCAGGAACTTACTTTGTGTCATTCAGTGATATTTTCATCACTTTTTGTCTACAAGTAAATTAATTTTTTTCTTTAAAAAGCTATTAACAGATTCGAGTAAATTTAACTGAATTTAACTGAATATATGACCCCTAGGTAAATATTTCCCCTGACAAACGAACTACCATCAGTTATTTTGCTTCTTCTACAACAAGCGGCTGCTATTGGTTAAAAATTACAAAATTTTATTTTTCATCTAGATGGCTAAAAATTGGCACACCTATATAAAATTAAAATGGAATTAACTTTTTCAAATAAAGTTTTTCGAAGTTCTACCCAGCTAACCTATTTTTACCCATTTCTTACTTTAAAGGGTCAAATTTGACAGATATCTGGGGACAACAGGCAAACTTTTCTTAAGTCATTTTAAACTATTGCCTAAGACAAATTCACACAGTCAAATAAAAAAGTTTCATATGATACGAACTTTTATCTGTGACTGTATAATCGAGGGCTTCTGCACGTAGCAACAGGCTACCACGTATGTAGCTGCAGGCAACTCTGCTTTTCTTTGTGCCTTTATCTCTGTCAATTGGTTACACGTTATATGTAGGCTGTTGTTAATCTTTGTTTTACGCGTTAAAATACAGACCACGGATTTAGAATGACCAGGCCGATATGCAATAAGGAATGGGATGCTTGAATTGGCAACCTTAGATTCAGATTTGTACTGTCCCGCTTGCGTTTCTCCATCGGGCGGGCTGACTACCGGCGTACCTGGCGAACAGACCGAAAGCAGTCCCATGTCTTTTCGAGAACACTCGGACATAGCCTAAAAATAAGACAAGGAATCGCCTGACTGATACTTATCCCGTTAATAATATTGCACAACATAAACCGAAAACCGGGTGCGTCCAAAAAGTGGCTCACTTAGTTTTCCTTAGTTTTACTTTTTTATTTTTTTTCAGATAAAATAACGAGATTTGGTATGTTAGTATATGACATAAATTAGGAATGATTGACGTATTCAATTATTTTTGGTCACTTCCTGTTTCACCGGAAATGACTCCAAATTTTAATTTTGTGGCACCTCCGGTATATTTTTATTTTATTCGATAGAAAATGACACTCTTAAAATGACATATGTCAACTTTTGACATTTTCCTATATGGTTTATTTGAAATTGTAACATGCGGTTCATAACAACAATTTGACTTGAAATGAAGTGTTGGTACCAAATTATTCGTTAAAAATGCTTTTTCCAAATATGCTAAAGAGCCACCTTTGTTCCATTTGAAAAAAAATTATGTTTATTATATTTAGATATGATTAAAAATACGATTTGGGCATATTTTAACCGACCAAGACAAGACACGAAAAACATTAGACGATAAAACCTATTTTTCCAATGCTCATTGATTAAAAATTAGTGTTTTTAACGCAGCCATGGCACTCTAGATTGAAATTTAAAATACACTTGTGTCTTAAGTTGATATATGATATGTCATTCTATCCAGAGTGTCATTTTCTATCAAAAGTAAAAATATACCGAGGGTGCTAATTAAAAATCAAAAGTTGTAGTCATTTCTGGTGACATAGGAAGTGACCAAATGAATACGTCAATCAATCCTAATTTAGGACATATACTAACATTCCAAATCTCGTTTTTTTATCTGAAAAAATAAAAATTTATAGGGGTGAGCAACTTTTGAGATGCGCCCGGTATATCTTTGATCGCAGGGAATAACAACTATTTTGATTTAAGCAAAAATAAACATTAAGCAAAAAGTGGGTTTAGATGAAAATAACGAAAATAATTTTTCAATAGCCCAGAGATTCAGTCAAAGAATTGTTTAAATTATTATATAAATATTTAAAAAGATACGGAGGGCCAATTTTTTGATCAAATTTTGAAACATTGTGGAAAAATATGTATTTCTGTTTGAGTTACATTAGGCAAAGTAAATCTAACAAACATATTTCATATTACAGTAATTTTTCTTTATTATGTCGCAATAAATTATAAGACTAGAAAATAGAATATAAAATATAGATTGACTAACCACTTTTAAGTTTTATGTAAACATCAAACACCATAGTATAAAAAATAGAATCCGATTTCGTTACCCAAAGACATATAATACTTATGTTAGAAAGAAATAGTTGAAAGTTTAAAAAGACCATATTTTTAACGTGTTTGAGTAAATCAGGTCAGTTACAGTTAAAAGAACTATGAACTTTAATTGCTGTATTTCTGCCTCATTATAGATTATCTACAACTAAAAAATATGCTCATATTTTTACTGTTAACGTATTCCTTGCGATCACAGAAATATTGTCATGTATTATTAGCCTTACTTTATTGGCTACACTTGCGGAAGCAATAGAGCCCATCCTACTTCCTGGTTCGGCTTTAACGGAAGTCGCTTGAGAGGAAGGCCTATGACAGACTGGCGTCTGCGTATTTGAGCTCATGTCAAATCGGGTCATGTCAGTAGCAGGTTGAACTTCCGGATGAATCTAAAAAAATAAGTTATATAAATCAAGGGGTACCTACACATAATATTTAGATGGTGGCCCTCTAAATCAGGGCGCTGGATGTGACCGGGGAATAGCTAGTGATAAAACATAAGAAAAAAACATCTAGGTTTTTGATTTACTAACATTTTAGACATGAGAATTATTTTCATGTTTGCATTGTCATTTTTTCTGTGTTATAAAAATTTGGAGTAACCCGAAACAACGCATATTTTTATACGAATTACGAAGAAATTAAAATCGGTTGCTCTAAAAAAGAGATATCACCATATGAAAGTAAAAATACAATTGACCGTCCTTCTCCAATTGTTTGGTTTGGTTTGGAAAATATGTAAAAATGACGTGAAGAAATAAAGCTTGATTTTCATGCATATTTTGTCCGACGATACGATGATACGATATTAATTTTATTGGTTGAATTTAAAGACTTCGATGGGTTAGAAAATTACGAAGTTTTCAAATTTATTGCATTTACATGCCTCCGTTCATCGGATATACGATTTGCTTGTGATTGGTGTCAATTTATATTTTCATTTCCGTACCGATTTCGCTGTTTTACTTATAGTCCAAGAGCTAGCAACGTTTCCAAGAGAGAATTTTATGAAAGCTGATTCCTTAATATATCTTTTGCTGTGCTCTTCTGAACAGAGTGCGGACCGTCTGGCTGCCGGTGGACGTTGCGTTTACTAGTGCGCATCATATCTGTATTCAACATTTGTTCACTACTGCGCAGCATAAGTTCGTCCTGTATTTCAGGAACTAAGGAGGCGAGGACAAACCTGTGTGTAGCATATTTAGTTTCATAAAAAAGTAGCAAAGTAATGTGAAAATCGCATCATTGTAACTCTATACATATAGGGAAATTAAAATAACTTTGGTTGCACATCATAATACGACCCATGATATCGTTGATGACGTGCACCCAAAGTTATTTTAATTACCCTTATAAACAGAAATCCCATAAAAAACGAAAATGGGATAGCCTGTCCAGATGTGATGCGCTGTAGTAAACCGCAGCCAGACGGCTCGCCGCTAGGTCAGGAGAGCATAGAAAAAGACATATTAAAGAACCAGCTTTCTTAAAATTCTCGTTTTCCTGACGGTAGCTCTTGTACTATTATATTTTTATTAAGGTTAGATTAAATTTGTCAAATAAGTATCAAAAAGTCCGTTATCGTAAGATCTTTCTTCGTCGACCGGCTGGAGTAAAAAATTTACGGATGAAAAGTGGCGCGCAAACGCTATGACCAATCAGAGCGCCATCGGACCATCGTATCATCCGATAACGGACGCATGAAAATTAAGCTTAAGCGTGCAATTTATTGAGGTCCTTATAATATTAATAACTCTGTTTTTTCTCAGGTAAGATTTCGAATGGATTTCGACAGAGGATGACAGAAAAAAAGCAGATGACGTCCATACCAATCTTAGATACCAGTATCTATTTATTTCGCTAAAAAAAATTCTAATATTCTTTAAGTTAACTATGATGGGTTTATAAGTAAATGCGTCGTGCGTCGTCTGTTGTTGTTTTTATCAAGTTATATTGGTTTATTTCAAAAATGACAGATCATATTTTAATATTGTTGGAGTGACGCAACGATGAACGATGCACGGACGCAGATGCGTATGAACTCGACTTAAGATTTCTGAGGCTTGTCAAAATCTTGCCAAATTATAGGTTATAATTTGTGTCAAATTATGTGAAATGACCTGCGTTTTGGAAGATGATGCATTTTGATTCGTGTTATTGCGTGTGTTTTGTTTCTTTTGAAGTTAGGTAGAGGAAAAATCGAGGGAAAATTAACTGTAGACCACAGTTTATAGTTAATATTCGGTGCCCAGACAGAGAGTTTTATACACCAGTAAAATTACCATCAGATGATAGGCAAATAATAAATTTTAGTACTGCAGAAAGATAATTTAAAAAGGTACTGGTTTAAAAAAATTAAGATTAAAATTAATCAAATTTAAGGTATAAAATTCAGTGTTATCATTAATAAAATATTTTGTTTTATTTACTCCTGTGCAATATTAAAATTATTTTATTTGTACATAAGTTATATTGATAATTATAATAATAAATGCAGGGAGTTACTTGAAGTTTGAAAGTAAGAAATAGTTCTTTTTAATATTTTTGGTATGTAGTGTTTTGTTTAAAATACTCCCAGTTTGTTTGGTATTAACACTACAGTAATTTTTTTTTAAATAAAATAACTCAATTAGATTTTTTCAGTTTTATACAGTTTTTTCACAATATTTTGAAGTATGCATTCCAATTGTATCAACTTATTTCTTTGTAAAATAAAACCAACTTTCGAACTAGGAATTAATTTACAGTGATATCTTTTTTTACTGATATACATATAAATATTATTTGTTTCTTAAGTTCTGTCATTATCGGGTCCCAAGTTATAGCTCTATTATTGAACCACCCTGTACAGGTTTCTTACCCTTGGTGGAGTTGCATTGGCTGGTCTAGCTGTGGGAGCAGCGGTGACCGGTATAGAAAACACCGGTACTGTTGGACAGAGAACTGGTGGTGTTGGAAACATCGTGTTGTAGAATACATTTGCTGGCAAGTATTGCACTGCAAACGTTAATAAATAAAACAGTAAAGTATTTTAAATTAATGTCTACTTTTTGCTGCTAGAGCTAATCTGCACGGGACCTATTTTGTTTAGGCGGAGTTCGAACTGCGGTCCTCGGCCATATAATGACTTACCGATTTAGCGACTGTCTAAATCCACACTTACGAGATATCAGACCTCTAAGTGGTGTGAATTGAGTAGTGTGCCAAGAGATTTTATTCTCTTGCCTTAAAATGATAGGATGGTGGAGTTTTAAAACTAATTTCTAGTGTTGTAGATTCAAATCGCTAGATACTGTTTTTATAATCGGGTTAGGACCAAAAAGGAGTTTCAAAACTTACAGATCAGCGGTTCAATTCTTTACATGCGTAACTTAATTTTAAGGATTCTCCTAATTTCAGTAATTAAAAAATCTTTATTAGTCTTACCTTGATATCGAGGTAGTGGTTCAACGTAGGATCTTTGTTGGACAGAGGCGGGGAGGTAATATACAGGGAAAATCCCTGTATTCATGGCCATTGTCCCGTTTAAGCCTGCATTGGTGGATTGATTGGTTAATGAAAAAGGAGGCCACGCATTAACTTCATGCATCTATTCAGAAGTTTCATTTATATTAGACTTATTACTTTAAGAAAGTTTTCTCGTTAGTTTCAGAATTCGTTATTATACAGTGACTGCCAAAAGATGGTAACAGATGGGGTCAATTTTTCACATAAAGTGTTTCTCGGTAACTCAATATTTTCTTTTATTTATTGTCATATTTTGCCATTTGCCATGGCATTTGACTGCCATTTTTTTGCAATCACTGTGTTTAGTGGGAATATTCATAATTTACCTCTGTTTGAAGTGGCTGAGTTGTACGCCGCAGGTCTTGTTGATTGGTTGACTGATGCGTGGCAGTATAGTGATGCATTTGATTACGTCTACAGTATTCTTGGGTATTATTATTATTTGCATGATGTTTTGTCATCTTGTGACAGTCACCTTCCCATGAATGCGATCCGCTTCGTTTAACACCATGCGTTTGCTGAAAAGTAAATTATTAGTTTGGTTATCTGGTTGGGTAATATCTAGATTTATATATAACATTTTCTTATGAGGTTAATAAGGCTAATCTTTTATTAGAACGTCATTCTATTACACAATTTCCGATAAATATTAAATAAACAATTTATCTTTACCTGGTTTTCGTCTCCTCTTAATGTTTCATTTGCATGCTTTTCTAATTTTTGATGGCATTTCTTTGCATCTTTGTTATGAAATCTTTCCTCGCGGTGCCTTTGGATTAAAATTTTTTCCATATCCTCGTTATGTCTAAAATTAGTATTATTGAAATAATATAAAACTTTAATTTAAAAAGATAGTTTAATAAAAATATTTTTTTCCGTAGTAATTAAATGAATGACTACCCTTCTACATAAAATAGTTTTATCATACATATCTTATAATAAAATTTAGAAGAAAAGATGATATTTACTTGACTAGTACAGATTCGGTCAACTGTGGAGGTTTATATGAATTATTAGATGTGTTTGTTCCACTAGTTGTACCACTTTCCAAATTGGGGTTACTTCCCGAACTGAGGTTTCCAGCACTTCCTGTTCTAGATGCGCCACTATTTTCCACTGGTGAAAGACATTTTCTAAAAAGAAATACATATTATAATATAAATAAATCGCATTATTTATTTATATAATATCGATTTATATTTACTCCTTAAATAAGAAATTTATAAAAAAATACAAATACGCTTTTCAATATTTTATTTATTTTACTAAAATTGTGTTTGATTTACCAGAAAATACCACTAGAGAGATATAAATATTTTGTTTCTACATCTTTCAGTTTTCGTATAATCAACCGAGGTGAATGAGGTGCGCCACCCTGTATATTAAATATTATTTAATCTAAATATTTATTTGAATTGTTATTCTATTAAATACTGCTGTTTTTTGCTGTTTTAATTATTTATTTTCTACGTAATAAGCAACTGGAATAAATTTCTAAATTCTTCAATATAATGATTGCAAATTGGAAAAATAAAAAAGTGGGTCCCATAGCCATTGAAGTTATGTTATTAGTCATTAAACTGGTACTTATAAATTAATTATAAGATAAAAGTTTATAAAGTGATTATGAAACAAGTAAATCGAAATCAATATCAAGAGTAAAATTTGACATACTGAGTAGTTCCCACGCAATCTGTGATGTTTTTAGAATCGGTATCCATAGTATTGGTTTGGGAGTTGCTCTCATCGGAAATGGTTGTTTTAGGGTTGCTTTGAAAGAACCTATTGATGTTTTCGTTGTAGTTTAATTGGTTATAGCTCGGAGGTGTCTCCGACGAGGATTTGCTGTCGCAATAGTCGTGGTGTGGAGATATCTCCCCCAACATCACAGAATCTCTCTCCTAAAAATCGTTAATGTTATTGGTATATTTTGACTTAAAGTTTTAAGTTGTATTTTTGATAAGAATCAACAAAATCAACTTATTTAGTTCACAAGCCAAGAACACAAATATTTGTAGATTTCCTGGATATTACATATTGGCGTGCAATCTTCACATATAGTGTAGTAACTCAGTAATTTTTCGAAAAAAAAAGTAATATCGCTGGAAAGATTTAAAAATGATGCTTTTTATGAAGTCAATGTCCAACTATGTTTTCCATTAAAAAAAACATATGTTTGTTTCATATGTCAAAAATGATAGGCTTTAGAAAAAAAATGGAGGACAGAGTCTCATTAAAGACCTACAACTTTTATCTGAAAACTTTTTGTCTAAAATAAACTATAATGGAATTAGGAAGCCATTTTAAAATAACCGAAATTTGTTAACTTTTTCATTGCAGAAAACTCAACCTGTACAGGGTGGGTCAAATTGGATGCTTTTAAAAGGAAACACCCTTTTCTATAGGAGATAGTCAAAAACTAATATCGGTGTCTGGAGCTCAATTTTTATCAAAAACATGATGGTGAAAACCGCATGTCGATATCTGTTACCGTTGACAGGTTGATACCGATATCTGTTACCGTTGAACAGGATGTTTTTCAAAAATGTGCATTTTCAACAAATTGCTGTAACTTTTTTGCTATGGAAAATTATTTTTATGAAAACATTTCCAAAGCAGCTTTTTACGTAGAATTTACGGTTTATGGTTTCAGTATAATTTTTTTTTAAATTAATAATTTAAGAATTATCAACAAAAAATTTGATTTTTTATACGGGATATCCTGTATTTTATTAATTCATTGAAAATAATTTAAAATTACCTTTCCAAAAATATAACATATTTGATATTTTGCTCGATTCCTCTTCGAGATATAGAGTTTTTAAAAATTCGCCCACTTTAAATAAGTAGGCTTTGAACCGTGCCAACTGTAATGCAAAAAAATTGTAGCTGTGAGCTACAATTAAAACGAAAATAATATTTGCAATGAGAGATTTAGAATTTTATAACAATTTAAACTATATATAACCACATCAACACATTTAAACAAAATCTAATAACAATAAAAATTAATAGCAAACCAAGACATGCGATTTTGCTACAGGTGTTCGACATGTCGACCGTCTTCTGTTATGGACAGACGGGACCGTTTTTGAATATTTCTCGCGGAATTCATTAACTCCATGGGGGGTGAAAGATATCCTCGCATAGTACTTCTAATTCTTGTCTAGATTATATAGGTAATTTAAAAATAAGAACCTTATATTCTTCCACAAAGATAAAAACCCAGGCACTAAGTCCGGCGGCCTCAACGGCCAATGGCTGGGATTTTGGTTAGCTAATCAATTATTCTCGAAATTGGCTACAAAAGTTAGCTGATAACTTCAGCGTTCTAAGGCAGTACCTTGTGTTGCTGGAAAAATATATTTTCGAGTTCCATTAGGGGCAGATCATCAATAAGGGGTCTAAAGCCTACTAGTTAAAAGAAGCGAATTTTAAAAATTCTTTATTTCGAAGGGGATTATAACAAAATATCAAGTGTGCTATATTCTTATTATTATATAAGTTCTTTTCATTTAATTAAAAATATATAAGGCGTCGCAAATAAAAAATCAATTTTTCTCTTGATAACTCTTAAATTATTAATTTTTTTTTTTTTACTTAAACCATTAAATTCTACGTAAAAAGGTGCTTTGGAAATGTTTTCATAAAAATAGAAAAATTTCCATAGCAAAAAAGTAACTTCAAAACAGTAACAGATATCGATGTGAGGTTTTCATCATCGTGTTTTTGATAAAAATTGACCTCCAGACACCGATATTAGTTTTCGTCTATCTCCTGTAAAAAGGGCGTTTCCCTTTAAAAGCGTCGAATTAGACCCACCCTGTACATGCCTACATAATATTATAAATTTTTAAAAATGGTATGTGAAATCTTTCATAAGTATATAAAAAATATGAAAATTTATAAATCTTTTATTATACAAACTCAAAATCAACATACTAAAAATTTAAGAAATGCTCATCGTAACCACAAAAATTATGTCATTACTGACATTTTTTTTACCTTATGCTTTATCTTTATAACTGTCATTATTTTTTTTATTAATTTGCAATATGAAGGTTGTTATATTATTACTCTTATAAGGAAGAGTCTAATTTTAAGACACAAATAGAATGAAAATTAATGTAACATTAGTAACATAGCCGGATATTTTCCTATGCATTTTATTTATTGAAGATTGCAAACCTCCATTTTTATTAATCGAAATACTATAACTTAAGTTACTAATATGGTATACAACTTACGGATATCGTTGGATCGAGATCTTGAGGTAATTCAATTTCCAGTTTTGATGGATTAACATCGTTCGTAAGTGTTTCCATAAAATCTGCCAGAACTTTGTATCGCTTGGTCACTTCCTGTTGTGCGATATCGGTTGGTTTAGGTATTTCCTGCCGATTGAAAGATATGTATCAGAAAATGGGTAATGATACTGAGACAACATTTTTTGCTCTTATTTTGATTTTTTAGTCAGTTTTAATGTATTTCTTATATAGAATTAAAACTCATAAAAAATATCATTCATTATTATTTTTTATTATTTTAACAGAACAGCTTATTTGTTCCAAAAATTATTGAATACCATAATGAGTTTTGTTTTAAATTGAGATTATTTTTTTTAGATTTTCAAGGATCGATAAAAGACTATATGCATTAATTTTATAAATGGTTTCAACTTAAAATAACAATTACTAATTCTATGCGATTAGTTTGTTATATTTTTTTGTGTTTATTTTGAATTATTTCTCGTTTACATAATAATTGGTTTTTTGTAAAATATATAAATCTGGAAAGATATTTTAAGTGTTGAATTACTTTAAGATTATTGTGACTTTAGATAGAATACCGATTCAGTAATATTTCGAACTTACGATTTTTCAGTTCTATAAATATTTTATAAAATAAAAAAATAAAAAATAGAAAGTGTGCATCATAAAAAGCAAAATTATGAATATTTCTAGTTGAAATGCCATTTTTGTTAGTTCTCTTTGCCTTTTCCCTTGAAAAATCTGAATTTTCGTAGTTCTGATACGATTTTCTGTGTTTAGAAAGCGCAAATCATAAACATTATCTTAGTATCTTACCTCACTGAGAATTTTGAGAATTTCAATTTGAATTTCTTTTCCCTGTTTGATAATTTCCTCAGGAATTTTTTTGAACTCTTCGTCGCTAGGAGTATCGAAAACATTTGGATTGAGTGGTCCTTGAAGAACCCGTTGTAGGCGTATTACGAATTCCATTTTTTTAGACCATGGATTCATTACCCTGGACCATTCAGTTTCGATCATCGCAAAACAGCCGTTTTGTACTAGAAATCTATGAGGATGACAGCGGAAGACCGATCCTTTTTTATGGCACGTTGTTATCACTAAAATATTCGATAGTAAGTATTTGTATTCAATATATAGGTAGAGCAGTACCTGATTTATAAAGTTCTTTTAGAATCGGCATATCTTCTGGATGGTAAAAGTCAAAAACTGACTTTCCTAGCATGTCTTGAGGTAAGAATCCGAAATGACTGACTACTTCGGAATCTACATGGTTGAATATACTTGATGCGGTATGACGTATGCCGAATTTAACTGATACTATCTTCTCTCCTGGTACTAATAACAAAATAAAATATGAAAGGATGTAAATAAACATTAAATTTTGTTTTACCTTTATAGGAACTATGTACAGGTACAGCTATCACTACAAGAAATATCCCATGATTGTTGTTACAGAATTTTAAGTCTTGGGTTTCTTCTATCCTTTTGATGGTGACGGTCAAATGGAAGGCTTGATAAGATACTTGCTTATTAACAATACCAAATTCGGGGGATTTTAATCCTTTGTATTGTCGTAGGCACACGTAGAGGTTGTTTTTAAAGTCTGCCAAACAAAAAAAAACTTAGCAAAAAAAATAATAACAAAAACTAAGAGTATAGACATTTATGAAGACACGGTAATAGATTTTATGTTGAGGATTCTGCTATAAATGCGGTTCTCAAAATGTTGTTAAATAATTCGGTTATTTTCAATTTATTTTAAAAATGGTAAAAATGGCGAAGAAAAAACATGTTTCTTTTGATCAGATCTACCACCTCTTAATACTAAACTAACTAATAATTAAAAAAAAAATACTTAACACTTCTGATAAAATAGACAAAATATTTGTCTTTTTTAAGACTAGCGCAAAAAGCAAATTACTTTACGCAATTTAATCATTAAAAAATAAAACTGGTATAAATTAAATATATGTATGATATAACTAAAAGAGGTCAAATCTAATATGTATAGGTACCTCGTAGTTTTCCTTCAGCATCCATTAAAGGTGAAGCTAAACAATTGGTAATTTGACTGGCAAAGGTATCCCTGTCTTTAGGATGGATAAAATCGACAAACGATCGTCCAGTCCAAGTATCCTTGGGAAATCCCAGCACGTTGGTTAAACTAGGTGTCGTGTAAATCACCGCGCCATCATGTATGGATATGACGCAGCAAAATCCTTCCTAAGAATTTTTTTAATACAATTTTTGAAGACTACAAATTAAGACTATACTAATTTAACTCACGTTGAAATGACTTAAAGTCTGCGGTTCGTTATTGTTGCAAGGAATGAGGTTTTCCTTATCACATTCATCATCGGCCTTTTCAACTATGGAATCCTCTTCCATACAAATAGTGGATTCTTGTATATTTTCTAACTCGTTACTGCTAGTTTCTATCAAGAACAAAAAGGAAACAAAGACAGAGTTGTATATACTTAAATTTTCGCGCTAGCGCATCGAGCTTTAAGTGACTGTTAGATTTTAGTTATTATAACTATTGATAGTATTTATTTTTTTATTCGTATTAAAATATCAAACATTAATTTTGATATTTGAGGTCTTCTATTGTCAAATTAATTAATCATTTTTCATTATTAATGATTATTTTCTCGCTTTACTGTTTTTATTAAAATCTGAATAATAAGTTATTAAAGTCACTTCTCTTAGTGCTATAGTCGCCGCCAACAATAGTTCAGACTCCTAAAAAAACTTATTTCCGAAACAGAAAATTTAAAAATAAATATTTTTTTAAATGAACAATGCGATCGAAAAATAAAAGACGCCTTAATTGCCTTCAGAAAAATCTACCGATTATAATTATACAGGGTGGTTCGAATTGTATTCTGGGAACTTCGGCAGCATATTCTGCAGATAAAAATGTGCCAAAAAATTATAAATTTATATCCTAAACTGCTTCGTTTCTAAGATAAGGGTCTAGGGGATTAATTTTTATTTCGATTTTTTCATTCGATTAGTACATTTATACGAACATTTTTACTTATTTTTATCTGCAGAATATGCTGCCAAAGTTTCCCGAATACAATTCGGACCACCCTGTATACATTTAAAAGTATAATCCGTGAGAATCCTAAAGGTGTCTCTCTCTTGACGCCATTTTTCTTGATCACACATATCTACACCATGTGTGATATATTTTGCCAATGTTAAGAAATGTTAACATGATTCTGCATTAATATTATCGATTTTCTTTATAAAAATTTAGCAATTAATTTTAGTATTTTGTGCTTAGATATGGTCATATTTAATAGTTATTTACCTATTGCAAAGGCAGGTAGTGCAGCTACAACAGCAGTGCAAACTGGTTCAGAGGCCTCAGTCGTGGGAGCCGGACATTCTACACCTATGTATTGGTTTTTAATTAATAATCAAGTAACGACCAGTTTGTTATCTTAATTAATACAATGTTTAATAAACATCAAATGAAATTTTGCCATATTACGTCCGAATTTAAATTACCTTAAGAGCGAGCCCCCATTGCGCCAGACTTAAAGCCCCCAGAACGACTGCCCTCACGGTTTCAGATAGACCTAAGACCACTATTTTCCGTTTACATTCAGGATTTAGTTTGTTTCATTCAATGTGATTTGGAAGTGTGGTGATTTAGAGTATAGTGGATAAGGTATTGGTGCGTGTAGTAAAAAAAGTCCCGTTATCAAGAAAATTGGTGGTAAATAAAACGGAGAAGGTGAATTACCAGTAATGTTGTCGTCGGTGGGATTTTCTACAACTGTCATCTCGGCCGGAGCGGAAAACTTTTCGGGAGGAGTTTTAGTCTTTTTCTTTTTATGTTCTTTGGAACGTTTGCACGGCACATTTTCAGAGCTGAACAGAGGAAAATATAGTTAAACAATTTATACTAAAACTAATATACCGGGTGTTTTTCAGAAGTGGCTCACACCTATAACTTTTTTATCTTTTTGAGATAAAAAAATGAGATTTTGAGTTTTTAAGACATAAATCAGGACTGATTGACGTATTCAATAATTAGTTTCGGTCATTTGTTCTCACGGGAAACAACTACAACTTTTGATTTTTAAATGGTACACTCGGTATTTTTTTACTTTATTTGAAAGAAAATGACATTGCGGATAGAATGCGGATAGAATGACATATCGTATGCCATCTTTTGACACCTTTGCTTAAAAAAAAAATTAAATTTTAATCTAGAGTGTACGAAAATAAATATAACAACGATTTAACTCGAAATACCAAGTATGTGGTACCGAACGATTCGTAAAAAAATGCTGTTTCCAAATTTGGTAATGAGCCACCCTCGTTTCATTTGAAAAAAGTGAGTTATGATTAAACATACAATTTGGGCATTTTTTATTTACGTACTGTCATTACTCGCTGACGAGTATTCGATACGCATCAGAAGATGGTTACGCAAGGAGTTTTCCTGTGACTAAAAAGCCCGATACGTGATGTTATCTCTCTTCCCCTCTCCGGACATTCAAAAACCTCAGTTGCCTTTTTACTTATTGGTTGTCGTTGTTAACTGAATTTACAATCCTTCTCCATTACGTTTTATTGTTCGCTGCTTCCCCCCACTAATTCTGCATGCTTATCCCCTTTAAGTTTTCATCGTAAATATCGTTGTACCTTTTGAGTTGTCCTCCTGGTTTCCTCTTACCGTCTGCAAGCCCACTCTAAAGAACAGGTAGGCGGTTTTTTTAAGCGGGATATAGTAATCATGACTTCAGCGCTCTCGTAGCTAGTTTTTTCAAGGACCGATACGTTTGAGACATTGTGGTTACCATTTTATTCTTAACAGTTGTATAAGGTGTCTCTGTTGCAACTTGTTTAATTCGTCCGTATGCCGGTGTTACGGCATCGGTACCCAGGTTTCGCTTCCATGTAACATGGTGGGGATTATTATTGCTCGGTACTGTAAGTTTCGTTTTTGTGCTCAAGTCATAATTGGGGCGTCAGGCGCTGCTACTTCTGTGCTGAATTTCAGAAATGGCATTTTTCAATCTGCCAGGAAAAGACACGAAAAACACTACGAGCAGTAAACGATGAAATTTATTTTTTCAAGGCTCTTTGGTTAAAAATTAGTAGATTTAACAAAGCCATGACACTCTAGATTGGTATTTTTGTTTTAAGTAAAAATGTCAAAAGTCGACATATGATATGTTATCTATTCGAAATGTCATTTCATATCAAGCAAAGTAAAATATACCTTACAATACGGTACAATTTAAAATCCAAAAGTTGTAGTCATTTTCTGCGAAACAAGATGTGACCGAAACTAATTGAATATGTCAATCAATCCCCGATTTATGTTATATACTAACATACCAAATCTCTTTTTTATCTGAAAAAATAAAAAAGTCATAGGGGGTCAGCTACTTTTGAAAAACACCCGGTATACAAAAATAAGTTGTATACAAGTTGACTGTACACATTCGTTAATATTGAAAAAAAAATGTGTTAAAAAAGACACCTATAGTGTTCAGTGAACAAGTGCATAACAAGAAATAAAAAAACAAGCTTTTTAATTGTCATTAGGTAACAATGTATTATCATGACATGATTATGACCATAGATAAAAGAAAATAATCTTCTATTAAGATAGATATGAAACTTAATAGTAAAATTTTGGGTCAAAGCGCCCCTCCGTGTTCTTAGTAGAGACTACGTTTAACCCAGCGCCTTCGCCTTTTCTGCTGTAAATATTTTTTTATGTTTATATTTGGTTTCAAAGGATTTAGTTTTAAAGTTACACTGATATATTAGTATATCAGAGTAACTTTAATAAAACATAAGAATATATATATTTTACAGTTTATTAAAAATAAATTTTGACTACAAGGTAGAAAGTAAATCACAATATTTGATAAAACTTATAAGTATACCATTTTTACAGTTAATAAATAATAAAACTATTTCTGACTATGATATTTAAAATTTAGATAGATAGAATATTAAAGAATATACCGATATTTGCAGACGCAGGCCCAAATTCAATAAAAACCAAAATTTTTCCTGCGAAAATCGGGCTTTTTTCACAGAAAAGGTATTTTTTGATTTATCAACAATCATTGTAAAGTTGACAATATACAGGGTGTTTTCTAATTAGTCTAAAAAATTGTGGTGTGATTCCTCATGTGTTCTTAAAACAATTTTTATATAACTATTGGGTCTAAAGTACTTCCTTTCTGATCTACAGGGTGTTAAAAATTAAAAAAAAATCGATATTTTGCTTAAAATAAATGGTACACTACGGCTTTTTTAAAGAAAATATATTTTTTTCTTGACTGGCCATCCTTTTTCAACAAAACTGATCTTTTGAGTTTTTCTTGTTCATCAAACGGTTGCCGAGAAAAAAATAAATATACTTATTAAGAGCCCGCCTTAAGCCGTTTTCTAACGATTTTTTATTTTTTAGATTAATTAGGAAACACCCTGTATATGCATATCACAGGCAACCAAATAAACTAGTAACCTCTAAAAATTATTTTTCCTACCACTAGCGACATACCGTGTTTTTAGTGAGTACTAAATTATTTTATCAAAATTTCATCATATAAGTTTCCAGGCAATGATTATGACTGACTGTCTTGTAGATAAATTAGTAATTTGTAGATTATTTTATAATTATTGACTCGTGCTCTTACCTTTCTTCGCCTGTAGGGGCACCACAATAACCACTGCTTCTACTGGAATTGCTTCCACTATGTCTAGATTTTGTACTAGTACTGAAAAATAACTTCAATTATTCCTTTTTGTTCCAATGTGTTGTAGTTTTAATGTTACCTATGTTGGGAGGTAGTATTGCTACAACTATTGGAATATCCTGATTCGGATATTTTCGTATTACTTGTTCCTGATTCAGATTCCATTCTGATTTGTTAACGATTTTTGGTAATTATTAGTCTGAAATTAAAAATATTGTTTTATGGATTATAGGTAAGGAAAATGTTTAGAGAAGTTTTATGGAAGATATAAATTATGCAATAGACTATAGTCTATTTCTTAATGTTTGACAGTACAAGACCTTCATTATAAATGCAAAAAGCGTTTTGTTGTGTACAGTGTCAAAAGATGGGACAAATTTAATTTTAAGGGTATATGTTCCAATAAAATTCAGACAGCTTTAATACTTTTGTAGACGGACAAATCAGGTACGTTTGCCGAAAATAATAGTATTTGCTCGTATAAAAATAGGTAATAATGATATTTTCAGAGACTACGGGTATTAAGGTTTTAAGATTTATTTTAAGTTTTGTTAAATATATATTTTGTTACACAGTATTAAATAATATTATGATATTATTTAACACTGTGTAACAAATGGCAATACAACTATTTATTCACCCGTTATTGGCATTTTCAGTAACGTTGAATTATACGAGTACACACAATTATTATCATACATATTAGTGAAGAAATAGAAAGTTTTTATTGTTAAATGAATGTAACAGGTTACAAACCTAAACTACAAATTACAAAAAACAATGTCACACGTTTAGAAAAACATTTCAATTAATGTTTAATAGTTACAATAATTAAAATACATAATAAGTAATTATAAATCATTCTTACTGAAGTCAGAGTCGTCAGAATTTCAAACTGACATTAGCAGAGATGAAATAAATGATGACGATCTTCGAGTTAAGTCGGAAAAATGACTTAAATCACATAAAATAAATAACATACAAACACAAACAACAACTACAAACACAAAAATATTTTTTTTTATAAAATTTAACCGAGTACTTATTACCATTACAGTTCTGATGTCATCGAATTCGTGTCTATTAAAAAGTGATGATGTGTGTGGATCACTATGTAATAAGTCGATGGCATAAGCTAAGGCCTTTTAAGATTTTCTTCAATATGTTCGAAATCAATTTGTTTCGTTCGTCTTTCTGGCGACATAACGGAGTCGGGGATTCACTTGAAAGACAACAGACTCACTACGCACGCGTAAAACGACAAATAATGTCGGTTCCGAAGAAGTAACATTTTATTTGCTAGTGGTATTGAGCATAGTATTTTTATTCCGCTGCTTGGCTGCCGCCTACCGCCTAACAGTTTAAAAAGTATGCCGCTGTTAAACATTTATCATAAAAATATATAAAAATCTGATTTATTAAAAAAGACTACTAGACAACTAGCATGTACCTGCGACTTCGTTCGCGTCGAATTAATCATTTGTAATGGTGATGATAAAGCAAAGCAAGAATTTCCATTAACATACAAACTGGATAAAATTTTCTCACATTTATGTCAGCATGAGAAAAAACAATATGGCGATATTATTATATAACTTGGTAATATTTGCGGGGTAGTTTCATCTCGTTGGACTTTTGAAAATCCGTTTGCCAAAAATAAGCTTGTTACGTCAAGCAGTTTAAGCAGAATCGTTGTTAATCAATTACCAAACTTTTTGGAACACCTTCTATGATTTTTTAAAAATTTCAAAATATGTAAAAGAACAAAATAAATTATGCCTGTCCAAGCGTTTTCCTGAAAGACTAACCGTTTTTAAATAACAAATATTGTAATATTTGAGGGGCGTTTTCACCCTCTTGGAATTTGAGATTCGAGAAACCCCTCCTTATCGAACCTCTACACCCCACAGTCAATCCGTTTGCCAAAAATCAGCTTTAAATGTCAAGCAGTTTAAGCAGAATCGTGATTACTCAATGGTCATATTTTATGAAACACCCCGTATAAATTTTTAAAAAATCTTAAAATATGTAAAACAACAAAATAAAATATACGTGTTGAAGAGTTTTTCCGAAAAACTTACCGGTTTTTAAATAAAAAATATTCTAATATTTGAGGGGTGGTTTTACCCCCTTAGAACTGGAATTTCGAAAAATCCCTTCTTATCGAACCTCTACACCCTAAAGTCAATCCGTTTTCCAAAAATAAGCTTTTTACGTCAAGCGCTTTCAGCAGGATCGTGATTAATCAATGACCAGCTTTTTCGAAACACCCTATATACATTTTTAAAAAATCTTAAAATATGTAAAAAAGCAAAATAAAATATACGTGTTTAAGCGTTTTTTCGGAAACTTGACCGTTTTTTAAATAAAAAATATTGTAATATTTGAGGGGTGGTTTCACCCCCTTGGAACTGGAATTTCGAAAAATCCCTTCTTATCGAACCTCTACACCCTAGAATCAACCTGTATGCCAAAATTGAGCTTCTTACGTTGAGTGGTGCGAGATCGTGATTAATCAGTGAGTCAGTCAATTACGGATTTTATATATTAGTATAGATAAAGATTTAAATCACAAGTCATTTTGAAAAAGACTTAAATTTTAAGTTTTAAGTCAGCTTTCAAAAAATGACTTAAAATCAAATGACTTAAGTCATTAAAATGATTTTAATAAAAAAAGACTTAAGTTTTCTGTGAGCTTGTTATAAAGTAGTAGTATTGAATTCTTTTGAATAATCTTTCTTTTAAAAAATAACTATATAATTAAGTAATGAAATGATAAATTTAGTGAACGACCTTCCGACATTCAAAAAAAAAAAAAATAATTGCCATAATAACCGAGACAGTAACTTAGCATTTCATCTACAATTCCGTGTTATTGGATAAACAGACCTTGGAAAGATGTCAAGAGCACGTTGCGTGGCATGCGACCCCTTTTCAGCCGACCTACCCGTGCCCTCCGACTATGTAACCAGCATGTTTGCATTTATAAATAGCCTCCTCTATAGCCAGGCGACAGGGTTTCGTAATTAAATTGGATCGAGTGGAACGAGTTTTGCAACGTGCCCAATATTTTCATTTCTCTTTCCATTCTGGCAATCTTTCTTTGTTCTGTAACTTAAGGACTGAAATATCACTTACACGTTACATGATATAGTTCGGAGAGTTTGACATTTAATACTTAAGAGTTCATTTGATACTGTTGTAATTAAATAAAAGTTGCTGGAAGTTTTTTTTTATAATAAACATTAATTAGGTTACACGAAACAATTGAACGAGTACACCTTTGACATTTGATATTTTATTAACAAGCTTTTAAGTTAAACATTTCTTTGTAAAAGTTTTTCTAATTAAACTTTTTCTAATTGAAACTTTTTTAATTTTTATTTTACTCTCTATCGCTTTATAAATTATAAAATATAAGTAGACTTTAAAAGCTTCATTCAGAACCTCCAAATTAGTGGAATAAATTAGTGGTTTCAATAAGCGTAGAAGTTTGTTCCTCTAATATCAATGTAAGCATTCACAACGTCAAAATTAGTGGCTGTAATATTCAATTACTGGAAAAAGTTAACAAACTTTTAACTTTTCCACTAATTATACTCATAGATAAATGAAACAAGTTTAGATTGGAAAGTGTCCATAAGGACAATGTAAACACTATTTGGCGCTGTTCTTGCAACGGTCGCGACCCAAGCTTTTGATAATTTTGGATCGGTTCGGCTTTTTCCGGAATTATGTCGCGAAATATTATTTATTCAAATTTATTATTATTTTCTTTTAATTTTATAAATAAAATACAGTGTGTTGCATACAAGAAACTTTATTTTATATAAGGACATGTATGTGAAATACCTATGAAACATTGGAAACCGACGCGACGTTATGCCACGATCCACGATGGTTTTTGCAGTTCATAGTTCACAACAGAGTTTTTTAGTTTTTAATGCAACTTTTTCACAATTATCCCGGGTTTGAGTAAGTAAAATTTAAATTAAACTCACAAGATAGCAATAATTACTTTGAGAATGGACGCTTTAAACACTTTTCGGTATTTTTTCAATGAGGGCGGTTTAAATTTTGAAAGATTTAATACTTTTTGAAGATTCTGACTTTTTCAAAATTTACGAAGAATGTCATTTTGGACTTTGATTGTCATCCTATAAGAGAAATTTTGGTTAGAAATCAAATGTTTATTGTTTTATTAGCTAAATGTTAGGCTTTCTCGATGGATACAATTGACTACCCCAAGCTGTTGCTTGCGGATATTTTAATAATAATAAATAATAAATAATGATTTTTATTGTATAAAGAGTAATATTACAAATATACAATAATTGGTAGGAGTTTGGCGTTAGCCACTCTTCCACTCCACCATAAAATAAAAGTAAATGATTCTGCACTTATATTTAATTAGTAGACAATAATGTATTATTTTTAATTAGCAAACAAACGATTTTTTATCTCAAATTTAAATCTTGAAAATGGTGAATCTAGTATATCTAGTATTGGGTTTAACAATAAAGGTGCCTTATAGGAAAAACTACATTTAAATTTTGAACTAGAATACCGCGGGACTGTAAAAGTATTTAATCTAATATCTCTACTATGGATTTCTGATCTTTTTATAAGTAAATTGTATAAATATGGAGGAACTTTGTATGTATAGACTTTATATAATAACATAATATAAAGGTATTGAAAACGTAAAGAGAGTCTAGGCTCATTCAATTTAATTAGGAGAGGAGTTACGTGCTCTCTATATTGTAGATCACAAACAAATCTCACCGATGCATTTTGTACTCTCTGTATTTTTGCTTGGTTGTAGTTTGTCAATAAACTGTAATAAATCTGACTACAATAGTCCAAATGTGGATATATCAGCGCCTTTATTAGGTGAAGTTTTGTCGCTTCATCCAACAAAAATTTCAGATTATACATGCTTTTCAATTCAAACATAGCTTGTTTGTATACTCCATTAAAGAAAATATATTCTTTATTGTAATTATTCTTTTGCATTTTTTTATAATTTGAATTCGAAAGTCAGGCCGCTGTCTAGGTAAACTCCCAGGTTCTTGGCAACATCGACCCATTGGATCAGAGTACCACCAATAGATAAATCAAAATTGGAAACAATAAAGTTTCTACTCCTCGCATTACCTACACAAAGTGTATGAGTTTTATTAGAATTTATTATTAGTC